TGGTAGTAGTCGTGGTGCTGGTGGTGGTGGTGGTGGCGGTGGTAGTAGTAATAATAGTAGGAGGAGGGAGGAGGCGGAGGGGAGTAGTGGCAGTGATGGTGCTACAGTAGTTGGAGGAAGACGAGGAGCAATAGGAGTAGTGGTAGTGGTAGTGGTAGTCGCAGTGGCAGTAATAGTAGTAGTAGTAGTAGTAGTAGTAGCAGTAGTAGTAGTAGTAGGAGTAGCAGTAGCAGTAGCAGTAGCAGTAGCAGCAGCAGCAGCAGCCGTAGTCGTCGTGGTGGTGGTGGTGTAGCAGTAGAAGAAGTGGCAGCAGCAGCAGTAGTAGTAGCAGTAGCAGTAGCCGGTGCAGCAGCAGCTTGAGCAGTAGAAGGAGGAGCGGGGGTAACCGCAGCAGCAGTAGTAGTAATGTTGCCGTTGTGGTTGTTGCTGATGTTGCCGTCGTCGTGGTGATGCTGGTGGTGGTGGTGGTGGTGGTGGTGGTGGTGGTGGTGATGGTGGTGGTGGTGGTGGTGGTGGTGTCGTTGTTGTGGTGGTGTCGTTGCTGGTGTCGGTATCGTCGTCGTAGTTCTAGGGGCCTCAATTGTCACCTGCTCCTTGTTTCAGCACAAGCACTATTTCTAAAATGTGTCAGCCCTCAGAAACCACGGTGAACGGGCAACGGCCATAAATTTCTTCCAAGGATCGAAGCATCAACAGACTCCACATCGGCGCGGAGCGAGATCTTATGACGGTGGCAGGATGGGGCTTCAGCGGATTTGGATTGTGCGATGGCTACAGGCTACAGGGTCCGGCTGCGCTGCAGGTGCTGCTTTCATGTCGCATTCAGTGGCCACGCAATCGGCAGTTGAGGGAAACTGCTACCCATTCGTGCGCGCAGCCCCGAAGCCTACAAGGAGCACTAACTGGTGGCCAGGTGGCTAGGAGCTTGCAGGTAGCCAAATCACCCTGGCGCGAAGCTACGGCCAGCGGCGTCTCGCCTGAGCTTTGGCATATCCAGCTTGGGAGCAGGGCGAAAATCTGGATGTGCTTCTCTGACAGAGGAGGCCCTCATGGACGTGGAAGAGAAAGGAGAGAGAGAGAGAGAGAGATGCAGAAGGATTCAAACGACAGAAGGTTGTTCACCCAGAAGAAAGACCATAAAAAATCATGTGAAGAGTATATACTATGAGATACTTGATAGAATCTACCCAAAAAAACCCAACAGAACAGAAGCTGCTTAGGAAACTGAGGCTGCATCCGGCGCCGTTGACCGCCTCCTTGAGCTCGGGTCTCAGTTGGAGTTCCTCTCTGCACCTGAAGCTCCAGCAAAAAAGCCCAGAATTGGTCTCAGGATTTTATGCCAACTAGTAAGCAAAGAGGTATGAGGATTCGAGGTGTAGGGATGGAGGGATTGGGTTTACTTGCGTGTTGCTCCTCCACGTTTTCTTGCTGTCCAGACGCGATACCGGGGCGGGCTGATGACTAGCGCGTAACCATGGCTTAGGGTTTGCTGCCCAGGGTTTTCAAGGCTTCAGGTTTCGCCTTTGACTGTGCGGCGCGACCATCTCCTACAGCACAGTATGTCCGATAAGAAAGCCGCAGAGCCAACCTCCTGCAAAAACGAAGCTCTTCATTTCTTGTACCAGATGCAGGCAGGGATCGTGTGAAGGTCGCCACTGGCGACGGCATCGTACAGCAGCTTGGCCGACTTGCTACAACGAGCCTGGGATTATTGCATCAGGCCGTCAGCACGAAGTAGGGTTCAGTCAGCACATCTTGTACATGTGGGTTGAGTCGACACCATCTTTGGGTTTTGAAGACTGCCCTGCGCCGCCATGTAGTTGAAGAGTTTTCCGCCCGGAGTTTTCCGGCACGTGAACATTTTGCTCCTCTGATTATACGACTGAAGCTCTTATGCCTTGGCCGCTGCTACTTGGCCTTCTGAGGGAGACCATGCAGAATACATTTCAGTGCTCCGCTCGTCAGCTGACTGTGACTTTGCCAACAACTTCGCAAGGACGGAAGATCACTGACCTAATATATCTGACGCTTCAGACAAGACGTTAAATTGGTATCACGGACCATGATAATCGAATTCTCACTCTAAAAGGCTTTCAAGCGAAGTGTCTGTGGTAGCACCCTTGTAGTGCTCTGCGACACTCTGCTTCCTGAGTACACGTTTGGAGTCGGATGCGGGTGCGGCATGCTTCCTTTGAGCCTGGCAATACAATGACCATACAGGAGCATCATCCCACAAGCAGTCTCCGCATACAAGTGTCATTAGGTATCAGCCATACAACTAAGACAATCATCTCGTCCATAGCAGGGTCCAGATGAAAACTGCTGGGGTAAAAGAGTGGCAGTAGTCTTGACACTTGAAGCTGCAACTTGCATCTGAAGCAGAACCGAGCAAATTCAAAGCGATTACTAATTGGTGCATGCAGTGTACCTCCACAGGCAGAGCGGAAGGAATAGACAGGGATTGCAGCTACTCGGCCCAAACCCATGAAGACAGGACCAAGCATGCGATCGGTCTCAAGCCCATTCCAAATTCGCATGCCTTGCATGCGGACTTATTATACCTATGGTGTCGGCTTTGCTGCTGTCACGACGGCTTAAACTAGAAATTGGGATCCATACTATAAGGACCCAGCCCTTAAAACAACAACAACAAAAACAACAAACCGAATTTGTGAAACCCAAACAAGTACTCGACGCTGTAAAAACTAACTTACAACACCCAATCCAGGGGCCATTGGAGAGACGGCAAGGAGCTGCACCCACCGGTTGACCCAAAACATGGTTGCCAGCAGTGCGACTGCAGTGACCTACACATGCTTGGGGTTTAGGCTCTTATGTTGGATATATTTTGGATTTAGGGCAGAGCTGTTGTGTTTGGCTTCGGATTAAGTTAACGGTTGGATCCTGTTGGGTCCGGCTTTTATGATTTCAGCCCACCTTCTTGAAGACAGCGGCTGCGCCGCAAACTCTCACAACCCTCAACCCCTACCCAACAGTCAAAGCTTGGACTGCGAGGCGCTTCGTCGGTGGGCGGCCGGCAACCGACCCGAAACCCAGATGCTCTATAAGATATCCAAAGTTTTACGAAAAACACAAAACAACTTAACCATCCAGGCGAGCTTCTAGACTCTACCCGGGCCTCATGCGGCGCTCTGAGAAATGATCCAAGTCAGCTCTAAACGCTCAGCCAAGGGCTATCATGATATGTCGGTGAACCCAGTGGCCAAAGCAAAAGCAGGTGCTCACGCATTAGAACCCGACGCGCCCACCAAACTTAAACTCTTGTTTCACGCCGTATCCTCCAAAGCAACGACCTCACGGTTTTGACTTTTACCCGAACGCGGCTCTAATCACAAACCAGGAACCACGGCTGCCACTGCCGCCAACACAAAGTCGCTGGCCATGGCCGCAGGACATCGGTGGTCGGCTTTCTGGGTCTAGGTCCAGGAAGAAGGGTTTACGGCACAAGGGCTTCAAGTTGAAGGCTGGGGAATCGACATCCCAACAGGCATTACTGACAGTGACAGTTACATGATCATCTTGAGGTGACTGAGGAGATACCAGCTATGTTAATGCAGAGCCTTCGGGGGTGATGGCCCTTCTAGCCGGACATGACCTTTAATACCTTCTATGCGTGCTTGTGCGCTGGCTACCGCACATTTCTCCACGTTCGGCTTCGATTCGAAATGATGTTGGAGACATTTTAGCATGTCCGGAGATTGCTTGCATGCTTTTGTTGCTGTTGTTGTGCTTGCTCTTGCTGGCCCCGCAACACTTTGATGTTGACATCTTCCGCCTTGCTGCTGCCACACAGAGCCATGCTTTTCTGCAGGCAGTTTCCGTAGTAAAGCTTTTACTACATAAAAAAAAAACACTGTGTGTACAACAGGCCCCGTTGTGCAGCAGCCCTGTCTAGCCAAATACACACTGCCCTAACCTGCAGCAAGGAGAGCATACGAATTCACACCTCTGAGGAAACTACTTGGAATGTAGGCACCTTACTGAACTCAGTGATTATTTCGTCGTGAAAGGCCATTACTCCATGACACAGGCTTCGAAAACCAACTGCTCCACACTTAAATCCTAAGCCATAAACCCCAACTTGTTTCTCTGGGCTGAACAAGCAAGGACAGCGACTGTGTTTGACAGCAGGAACTGACCGGATAGGCACTTCGACAAGTTGCATGAGGTTTAGGAGGCAGATTCAAGTTTGGCATGGGGAGGTTTCAAACCGGATCTAGAGCCGAAGCGTGTCGCATCTTGTGCCTCCGAGCATAACCACTGGAATCTCAAACACAACCCGACTCGAGCCAGTCTTCTTATTGTCGATGAACGTTTTTCTTGTGCGCGGCGATGAGAGACCCGTCCTTTGATAGGACCTTCAAGCCTCTTGTATGCGCTAGCTGCTAGCCGTTCTTTGGATGTGACATGCTCTACTACCTAACTTAACATCATGGACTGTGTTGGCAACAGCTTGGGGCTGCGGCCTTAGTTGGAATGCTGCTGACATCTTGTTGTCAGTCACGTAGCATCACCCAACCATACTGCTGACATCACCCTTAAGATGTGCTGTGAGGCAAAGGTGTCAACAAGTTTTCATGTAAGTGGCATATTGCAAACAGCCGTCTTTGGTGATTACCAGAGGCCATCGCAGGTTATAATGGGGAGTTTATATTTCCAGCTCGTTCACTCTAATTACGCACACTGCACGCTTACGACTACAATCATAAGTTGCCTGGTGCTTACAAACTTCTTCAATCATCGAACCTAGGTTCACCGCCACGAAAGCACCTGACCCATTAAACTTCCGACACCGGAGCTAACACAAGCATTAAAACATCTTGAGGCCTAATGAAACACCGATGTAGCCCTGTCGCGCAGAAGGACCTATGCAGTCTTCCTCCCGGAACCTTCAGATGTTCCGGGAATCCGGATCTGAAACACAGCCTTCCATATTTGGCAAGGCTTGCTAGACCACCGCGCATTCGATTATCATTCTGGTTATGACCCCATTATGATACTTGCAATTGCTACTCATCGTGTTGATGGTGGTAGTTTGTACTACTCCTCATGCCCGTAGTCTTATGCATCATCCTCGTTTTACTTTGATCACCACATTGTTGTCTACTACAACTGCTACTTCTTCTTCTACTACTACTACTACTACTATTACTACTTGACTGCCACTACCACTACTATACCACTACCACTACCACTACCACTACTACTACTACTACTACTACTACTACTACTACTACGCGCATAGTACGGGGTGTGCCCCCCGACACTTGCCCACACTTGTCCTGAGGTGTCACCGCCGAAGCCA